CTGGTTCTCGGAGCAGCAGCTGAGCCATGGCCTGTGAGCTGCCAGCTGAGTTTTCAGCTACACACTGATAAAATCCTTCGTCTGACTTCACCAAACCCAAAATCTGCAGGTTACTGCCGTCCTGGACAACCAACACATTCAACATGTCAATGAAACCTTCGAAACTACACAACAAAGTCTGACTTAGACCAGATACAGACAAGGAAAAACAGCAGTGTAAGAATATGTGTTAGTGGGTGTTTGTATGTGTGTTATCTGTTTACAGTAGATTATGGGATTAAAGATTATGAGATATTCAGATTATCAGATTAGAGTAATGTTATTATCACTACTCTGCTGCTTTCACTTTCTCTTTTTAACACTGTTTTCATTTCACATTGAATTCTAATAGACCGTTTTTTTTAATCAGTGTTGAGACACTGTCAATTAAATAATCACTTCCTGCAGATATTTCACATTAAAATACACGTTAACATAATTTCATTAATAATACAGCAGAATGTGTTGGCTGTTGTGTTTTTTGCTATCAGGGTGACTTTGTATTTCCGGTCATGAACATTGTTTTAAGAATTATTGTCTTTTGTTTTATTGCTTTTTGCAGAAAAAATCTATTCTTCATCATAATGGCAACAACATTGTCTGACTTTGGTAGAAGAAGAATTCAGAAATGTAGAAAGAATTCAAATAACATCATACATTTATAAAGACCTTCATGGACACCCGTAGAATCGCTTTTCATTCATATATCTTGAGTTGTGAGGTCAAGGGACCACTTTGAAAATGCATATACCAGTTCCTCCATCACCAAAATGTAGCCAAATCTGCAGTGTTATTTAGACAAGATACCAGTCGGTACCGTGTTTGGCCATCTAGCTTTATACGGTACCAGTATGTTCATTTTAAAAAGAGTGTGGAGTGAAAGAGTGTATGATACTGTGGTGGCACTTTCAGGGGTGGCCAATGCCACTCAAGCCCCCCCCCCCCTGGACATACCTCTGGTTTCATGTTGGAACTATTTTCTTTCTACATGTCACTGCGCAGAAGGGAGCATGCATCTACTTATGCACGAGAGGCTTGTGCTCGTGAGGGCTCTGGATGTAAACATTAATAGCGTCCATCTTGGCAGAGCTGTAACATTAGCTAGCTAAAAAAATGCATGCTTCCTTCTGCGCAGTGATGCGATTGGTGGGTGAAGTTCGGTAGCAAGAAAATAGTTCCCACATGAGACTGCTCACAGCAAGGTCTATGGATAGTCTTGAGCAACCGGGTCATGATTCCTGGAAGGGGACATTGCTGTTGACTTTTCCAAATGGGTGCTCAAAGGGCCCCCTGGTTCCTTTATATTGGAGAGAAGGCATACATCTCTATGGCGGAACATCTCCAAAACTCAGCAACTCACACCAAAACAATCTTGATAGATGAAAAGCACTACAGGTAGGAGGAAAAATATAGTTTTTATTTTGAGGTGAACTGTCCCTTTAGGTGGGCAATATTTGTTTAGAGTTCTGCACTTCTTAATGCTGGGTATAGTATAGTTACATTCAATATATTGATGTCAGAGTTCTCCCAGCTGAATATATGTTTATTTTGAACAGTCACAGACTGTATCCGCATATATTTTCCACACAGCAAGTTATTTTCAACCATTCAGATGTAAATATAGCTTTATATATATGAGTACACTTTCTGGGTCCTGTTTGACTCACCACTATCTGGAAGTAGTCGCTGGGGATGACTTCCTCTCCGTTTTTCATCCAGCGGACAGTCGGCGGTGGGCTTCCTGTCACAGCACACTCCAGCTCGATGTCGGTGGACTCGTAGGCGTACGTGTTGGTCGGGTAGTTCAGGAACTGAGGAGGCACTGCAGGAATACACAAAAGCAACACAATGCATAAACAATGGAGGAGCATGTGAACACCCGCCACACCTTTTCTTCCTCCCGGCTAGAGTGAAGCACTGAATCAGTTCAATGACGTTACTGTAAGTATTGTTGTTGGCTCTTCAGCACCTTTATTTCTTCCCCGTCTGGATTGTGTTTCACATTAGCAAGTTTCTATAATGACCTCAGTTAATTACAAACTAATTAACTCAATTAGAAACTGAATCCCTGGCTTATTACTGAAGAGTTGAATGTGTCTGATCTCATTAGCCTCCATGGACCATTACATGTTAATCTCATCACAGTCATTTGAAATTTTCAGGTATTTATCGGTGAGTTGTTGCTAATTATGCTGACAATCTACATTCAAATGTTAGCTAACAGGTTTAAGGTCCAGTGTGTAACATTAAGGAGGATCTATTGTCAGAAATGCAATATAATATTTATACTTATGTTTTCATTAGTGTATGATCACCTGAAAATTATAATTGTTGTGTTTTTGTTACTTTAGAATTTATTTTATTTGCAGAAGGAGCAGGTAATCTTTCGTAGCCCAGAACGGACAAACCAAACACTAGCTCTAGATAGCGGCGTTATTTTGTGCATTCATTCTTGGAACGGGGGTTGAGGTGAGGGTGTTGCAATCTGCAACTACACCGCTAGATGGCACTAAATCCTACACACTGGGGCTTTTAGTAGTGAAACACAAGATTTCAGCAGATTTACCATGTAGTTGTTTTTTTGATTGTTTATCATGAGTTATACATTAGGTCAGGCCCAAGGTTATTAGAGTTCACTAAAACTAAACTAAAAACTAAAACTAGGTGTGCAAAAAGATTTTAGTTAACTGAAGCAAAAGTAAAACTTTGACTTGAAAAAACTGAAGCTAACACTGAAGCTAAGCACGGAGTCTCACTTCTCAAAAATGTCACAACTGGTCCAGACAGCCAATCAAATCAAGCGAGAGGTGGACTTTACTCGCACCTTCTTCCTGTTTTGATGCACTTAACTATGCCAGTAAATAAGTCTGCTTAAATCCACCTTTTTCCACGGTCATATCTGATAGCCAGATGGTGCTGTTTCCCTGAAGGTCTTTGCCAAGGTGTTTCAGAAGCGGCCGCCCCTTAGTTATGAGAATACATCCAGGCTAGTTAGGTTATGCCCAAAGTACTCATTGTGCAACCAATTTTAGTAGCTGATTTAGTTACAAACTAACTAGTATTTACAGTGCCTCTAGTGTTGACTTTACACCATAACTTGTTCATAGCTGGTGCAACCCAGTCCTGAACTTGAGAGGAAATTCAAGATCCCAAAGTTTTCAATGATACCAAAATGTCAAGTTGAGTTTTGAGGAAATGTTTCTAAAATGATGCCTGTGTCTTGTCAGGTAGAATATTTCCATTTAATGAAACAGTACAGCCGTTTAAAAAAAGCATCTTGAGTTTGAATATTTCACTAAAATAAAATACATACGCAGTTTCAGTGAAGAGCTTGGACAACATGAGACACAGTATATATGGTTTTGTCACACAGAGATGTGAAATTGTTTTTCCAACTTTAGGGTTGCCTAATAAACATTTTTATATTAGCAATGGTTCAAATTAATGAGGAAGAGGTGTCACTGGTAGTGACAAACCCACAGAGACCTCTCCCCTGACTCAGCAGTTCCCCTCAGCTCTACAGAAGCTTCAGCAGCTTTTAGTTTGTTGTTGTGATTTTACACTGCACAACTTCACTGTTTTGGTACACTCCCACTGCTCTCCTTGCTGTTGTTACCAGCAGCAGAAGGCAGCTGTTTCCAATGAAAAAGCTCTGATAAACCTACTGTACACTACTGACCCAGCACCGAACAGCAGACAGACACAGTTAGACACTAGCTGGTGGAGAAAGGGGAAATGCATATTGGACTCATACTCATCAGGTGAATGCAAAAGCAAAGTAAACAAATTCTATTTCTTAAAAAGGCTCCCTTTAAGTTGAAAAACCTCAACCTAACAAACTGGCAAAACTGAACCAGGATCAGTGATAGCAGTTTAAAGGGTACTGTATATGATTTTCAGACGAGATGTCGCATTAGAGTGCCAGCCTCTCAGATCAAACCAAATGACCCAGCCCTTTGGCTCACCAGACTCCATTGACAAAAACACTCATTTTACCTGCCGGACAATATAACACATTCAAACTCGACAGGAAAAAAATACAGTATTTCCACTGCTCCAACAACGACCACCAACATGGTTTGGTTGAAATAAACCCGTAATTCGTCGTGTCAGATGAGAAAAGAAAGGTGGGCTGCTATTGCTGCCATGCAGCATTAGCTAATTCTTGGGGACACATGCAGTGTATGTCCAAGTGCCTGTTTTTGCCACAGGCTCAGGTTGTTATTCTAAGTGTCTGACAACATTATGGAAAGATCCCAACAGAGACAGACCTTTAACCAGAAACAGCCGTGATATCACTTCGCACCAGACTCTATAGACAAAAACAGTAATTTAACCTTGTAAATAATCACACTTTATTAAAAGTCAACTAGAAACAAGGTAAGACTCAGCAGAACCATGTTTGTTAGTCTTTCTACAGTTCCAACAATTACCAACACCAACTTTGAAATAACTTGAAATAAAGCCGTTTTATTCGCTGGAACATGGGAATACTGACAAGCACAACAAGTTTGTGTGGCTGCACCGGGATCAACCACGTCATTCTCTGCTTAGGACACATGTAATATATATAATTACATAGCTAAAAGTTGCTTGCTGCTATATTAATGTTCTAAATCTCCTATCGAATCTGTAAGTTGTTGAGATGTGAAGTGATCGGAGCAACAGACAGGCTCACACGTGCAGATGCGAGCTCATGTGACAGCTGGTAAACTTTCTACAGGCCCGTTACATTGAGAACAGGAAGTAAGGAGGGTGAGGCGGGTGAGGTGGCTGCCATGTTTCAGCTCTGTTGGCACTGAATGCTGCCTTTGAAAACGTGGCGGCAGTGTGTGACTGCGAGACATGAGACAGAGAGCCATTTTGAGGACGGAGCCTGAAGGGCCTCCAGTCGCGCAGAGAGCCACGGCGGCGCTGTCAGCGCTCCGAGACAACAAACATTCTCCCTGTCAGCAAATAGGCTACACACTCACACACACACTCAGGAACATGCTGTAACTGTCAACAAACAGACACACACGTATTCATAAGGTCACAGCTCCCTGAGCACTGTTTAATACAAACACACACAAGATATGGTACAGGGCCAAAAGTATGTGGACAGCAGAATACTACTGAGCATCATGTGAAGACAAGATGGAAGGAATGAGAAAGAAAGTGACAGACAAAAAAGGACAAAAAAAGACAGGGAGTTGGAAAGATAATACAAGGGAGAATAAGAGTAAAGATGAGAAGAAAGGAGAAAACAGGAAGAGAGTAAAAAGTGAAAGACAGTATGCAACAAAGAAAGAAAGAAAGAGAGAAGATAGGTGGATAAGGAAATAGAGAAAGAATTGTAAGAGATGGATGAAAGAAAAAAATAGGAAGAGAAAGAGAGAGAGAGGAAGGGCATAACGTATAGAGGATGTGAGTTGTGTATGTGTGTCTCCATCAATACATCATTATCTGGAGGTGTAACTTTATCACTGCAGTAATGCTCTAATTAAGAGCTAACGATTTCCTTTAAACTCTGAGCTACTGCAGCTTCACCACACCAACAACGACACAGCGGTACACAAACAACACAGACCGCTACACATGTCCAGGAATTAGTCTGAGACACTAAACACCTGAGACGCAGGCAATCAGATCTGAACCTATCATAATCCTCCGTAGCTGGATGTTGCACTCAGAGCTTTAGCTGCAGTTCCTCTGATGTCCATCCAATGACGCTATATAATTAGTGGACAGAGCTTCTGGGTCTGACAAGTGATTCCAATGGCTAGCAAAGGGCACCTTTACACCATACAGCCTGATGTTCACTTTGTAAATGATGGTCCCATTCAGAGTAAAGTAGATGATAAAGCAGGGTATGTAACATTGAAGATCCTTGGTGCTATCTACCGAACCAGCCTGCGTTTCCACCAGTTTAAAGCGTAACCGCTGTAATTGGACGCATCATCAACAGAGAGCGTTGCACAATGCACAATGCCCTCTAAAATGTGACATACCCACTTTGGTTCCCAGGGAAAACCTGCTATTTTTTGGTTCCAGCTGGTAACCAACTTTTCAGGTTCCGAACTAATTTGATTTCGGTCGTAATGCTGAGAACGCTTCAAAAGTAGGTGTGTGAACGGGAAACAGATCCGGTTCCCTTTTGGTGAAAAAGGCATAACAGTCCAGCACAAGGTACAAAACTCAGATCTGTTTGATTATTAAAGCATAATTTGCAGTATATGAGGATAAAGTACATGCCAGGGTGGACCAGTGTGTAGGATTTAGTGGCATCTAGCTGTGAGATACAGGATTGAAACATCTATTCACAGCTGATAGAAATGACTTGACTCTAATAATGCACCTGTTAGAAACTGTGAAACTCTCTTACACAACTCTTCAATCAGCAATCCGTTCTAATCAATCTATACAAGATCTGTGTTGTTATTTGCAAGCATGAATCAAAGAGGCAAAAGGCAAATAAGGAGAGTTGGAGGCCATGGCAGAGGTGCCCGAGGAAGAGGAGTTAGCATGTGTTGTGGAGGAGCCACAGCAAGAGAAGAAAATAGAGTTCAAATAGAGCTTTAATTGAAATTATTTGAACGATTATGGACCATGTGCTCAGTCATGGCTTTTTCCTTTAGTGAGCCTGGACAAAGGGTCCACCCCATTCTGAGATAGGTATAGGTGAGTCACCATGTCATTGTGTACGACGTTGTATTTCAGCTTTACTGTATCGCCCTGTTGGCAGAACAAACTGAGTGTGTTTCCAGTAATGCAGTTGTTTCATCAATCCCATTTATTGGACGCTAACGCTGAACAGGAGGCTTCCATTGTAGATATGGTTGT